ACACTCCAGTACATTAACACTGCACTGAGAGAGAGGGGTTCATACAGACACACTGACTGACTGGACACTCCAGTACATTAACACTGCACTGAGAGAGAGGTTATAACAGACAGTGACTGGACACAGACCTGCAGTGGGGATTGCAGATAGTCTTCATAGCCCTTGGCAAAAAGCTCATAGGCATTAGGAGGTGGGCGGTTCTGGTTCAGGTACTCCAGGTATTGCAGGTAGGAACGGAAATCTTTGTCACTGTGCCGACTGGACCCAGTAAAGATAAACTGTGCCTCCAGCTGAGGGAAAGAGACCAACAGAGAGTTTTGAGTCACTCCTCACACAGATAGATAAATACAGACTCTAATATAGACCCTAGAGACACTCCTCACACAGAGAGATTAATATAGATCTTTGATCTTGATTAGTGATTAACTGAGATTATAATCAGACTCCACTGACACTGACAGAGCAGTGTGAGACTCTCCAGGCTGGACTGGACTGACTGGACTGTGATCTTGATTAGTGATTCACTGAGATTATAATCAGACTCCACTGACACTGACAGCGCAGTGTGAGACTCTCCAGGCTGGACTGGACTGACTGGACTGCTACTGGGTGTGTTTGTCAATCATCATCTTACCTTGAAAAGCCGGAATATAATTCGCTGGTGAGCTTTAGACAAGACAGGAAACCCCTTCTTATTGGTCAGGAAGATGCTAGTGGGCAGAATAGCTGCTTTGATTGGTTCGCCAAGCCATTTGTCAATCACAGCATCAGAAGGCAAATCTGCACCAATCTCAATCGCTGAGGGAAGAGCAGAGCAAAATATTTAATTAGTTCAAACTGTCTTGAACACTTCGTTGTACCAGCTAATAAAACAACAGACTTCCACTGAAGCCTTTATTGTTTGCTAATCACAAAACAACACTTATATATTGCCTTTTGGACTGAGTGTCTCTCCTGTTGTATATGTTTATTCAGGAGGGAGTCCCTGTTGTTTCTAATTGAAGTATTGCACAGGAAACTTACATCAACTAGCAGTGTTAATGTACTGGAGTGTCCAGTCAGTGTGTCTGTATGAACCCCTCTCTCTCAGTGCAGTGTTAATGTACTGGAGTGTCCAGTCAGTCAGTG